CGACGGGGTTGGAATAAGGGTGCAAGGTCTTCATACAAAGCGGAAGACCGATAGCAACCGTAGAAACGGTTACAGTGAACAGCGGTAACAGTGGTACCACCTTTAGCCGAGGCAATGTACGGCCAAATTTCAAGACTTTCACCATACATTACCACTTTTACCAGTGTTACACGTGTTATCAATGTCACTCGTGTTACTAGTGTTACCAGTGTTAATAGTGTTACTCCTGTTACCGGTGTTACCACTGTTACTCGTGTTACCGCTTTTATAGCTGAAAAGTAGTGAAACGATCACCAGTATATCACCAATCATTTCACTACTTAATAGCTATGAAAGCGGCAACTCTGATAACACGAGTAACATTGGTAATACCGATATCACGAGTAACACTAGTAACACTGGTAACACGAGTAACATTAGTATCACTGGTAATGTATGGTCAAAGCCTAATATGCACAAAGACTGGGGAAATGTATTGGAAAACGCCCTGATCTGAGGGACATAAGTTTGTTATAAGTCATTGAAAGAGACATTTCATGTCACAGTTAAATTGTAAGTATGTGCAATCGCTGAAGAGCTACAGCTGAACTAACCGTCACAGCCAATTCTGGACCATGCGTCATAACATTGTCGACCATGGTATCAACATAAACATCCATCTTCTTTTCGTGACGTTTAATAAATGGTGCGAGTACCTGAGCTAGTATATATGTCACAAGAAAACGCAATGTAGAAAGAGCTCACCTTATCGAATACAAACTGGGCTCCTGCAGTGTACGGATTGACAGCCCAAAGCAGAAAGAGAAGTTTTCCAAACTCATAGAATGGGATAAAGTAGCTGATAAAAATCGAGTCCAGCACAGCGTCTACGGCAAGGAAAGAACCAAATACGGCCCAATACTTGGACCAGTAAGACTAAATAAGTTTGTCTCATTGCAAGTTAACGTCTGAAAGGTATTACAACTCACCAGCATCTTTTGAGTAGGTTTCTTTATAGTCTTGTAGGAGTAAAACACTGGAACAAGGGCGCCAACGAAGGCTGAAGCGAGGTGACAGAGCAACGAGAACATTCTGAAGAGCTATAGTATAAACACACGATCCAAGCTGCAGTATAGACGAACCGTACAGCGACACCACTTGACGAATATGAGTAAGCAAA